GTAATATGAGATGTATTCACCCTATTTCGTCTAAGGTGATAAAGGACTGGTAGTAGAATTTTCCCACAATATTTAATATACTAACAGTCGAGGGTTTCCTTTCTAACTCACTTTATAATCAAGTACATGGAGTCAAACAATGGGCTATGATGTGGAGGCTAATAAGGAGTCTGCAGCTAGCAGACGCGAAACACCAAGAGCAGGAAATAGGAAGATTGAGGAATATGTTAGTCCAAAAAAATTATCCGAAAAGATTAATAGATAATTTAATGCAATATTTATAGATAAAATGAGGGGAAACAGCTAGTTAGGGCAGGATGGGCAGATAGACTATTTTACTTAGTTTATGAGAGCTTTTGAGAGAGGTAGGTGAACCATTGAGGAAACAGAACATTAGGAGAATATATAAAGAGAAATCAACACATTCCTTAGGCCTTTCCGAGAAGGTCTTGTGGTCATGCGGTAATGTCTACATGAGGGAGGCCTCTACTGAAAATAAATTCTCCTTCAGTTTTCGGTCAGGCCAACCAACCTTTCCTTTAAAATTAAAAGTTGATTTGCCTTCATTTTGCATTACATACATGCATCTTGCTTAGCGTTATGAGGCAAACGATATTGAAAAATACCGAATTCATGGATAACATTCAGCAAGCCAGAAAAGATCGAACCTAAGGTACTTACGATAAGGTTATATTTTATGCAGTGGAACCAGCAATAGGAAGGTCAACAGACAATCTAATTGTTAAATTAATATTCTTGTATAGTCGCCTCAGTGTCCTGACTTTTGAGAGGATGTCGGCAAAAGAGCCCTTTCAATGACTATTTTGTGCGGTCCATTGCAAGACCCAACGAATCAGAAAAAAGAGGAAAGACAGTGAGATCAAGATGAATGACATTTTAAGCTGGATAAAGTATTAAGCAGCATCTCCCGTCGAGTGACCGGGCATAAGCACCAAATGTCGTGGATCCTATGAGTATAGAAGGAAATAAAGCGATTAAAAGCATTCAACAGTTCCTATATCCTTATATGCGTGCACTGAGGCGTAAGTAATTCGGCTCTATGTCGGCGATACCTGTACCCCAAAGCTTATTGGAATTTGATTAAAAGCATTCAACAGTTCCTATATCCTTATATGCGTGCACTGAGGCGTGAGTAATTCGGCTCTATGTCGGCGATACCTGTACCCCAAAGCTTATTGGAATTGGATTGAAGTAAATGAAACAGAATCCAGGCTATATGCCTGCATAAGTATGCTTATATGAGCAAAGCAGAGAAACAGATAAAAAAGCAAAAATGTTTTTGTCACTTTAGGATCTAAGGCATATAGTATGACACAATAAGTGAGTAGATTAAAGGAAAAAACCCAGTCGTGCCAGCCATGAAAGGAACAGGGCTGAATAAATCTTTGAAAGATAAATATACCTTGATATAGATCCTTATAAATAAATATGCATATACATGTAAATCCAGAAAGCGTACATACATGACGTGCGTACACATGAGTGCTTAGATAAGTAAGATACAGATTGATGCGAAAGTACAAGCACACACTTGCACATACATGCATAAAGAATTATATATAAAAATTAAAGTGGCTTATAGCGAACTAAGCAAAGTTGTGGGTGAACATGATGGCACTTAAGAATATAACAAAGGCGAATGGGTTTTCATGACCAGTGGTAAAAATGCCTGGAAAATGTTAATCCAACCTTGCTGCCCAGATTAAATCATTAATTCTTAGGAGTTTAGTAAGCCAAACGACCGTCAGCGCATTATGCCTCTTTAAAAACGAGTCAAATTGAGAAGCTATACATGACGCTCACAATGAGATAACGTCTTAAAGGAAAGAGCATAGCATAAATGAAGAAATTATCGTGGCCAAGTGGGTATCATCTGCAAAAGTAGACAAGAATGAAAGGAAGTAACAGGCAAATGCAACATCAACGAGTGTGCAAGACAATCGGATTAAAGAGTAGATGATAATCCATTCTACGTCCACAAAAGTTACTGTACCTGGCTACTGTCGAAGAACCGTGAGAAACTCTCTGACATAGCCATTGTAATCGGAGTCACAACGGTGGCCGACGCTGTTGTAGCCGCCGGTGATGCCGAAGCTGCAGCTCCAGGCTTAGACGAGAGCAAACTGGGCCGAATTGCGCGTGGCGCGAGCAGTCGCCCGGCAGGAGCAGGATCGGCAGTCGACAGGCAAGTTTGCATACCAAAGCCCATACTTGTGTTCTGATCAGGCCGATCCATTGCCTCAGATCCCTCAGCAACTGAGTGGTTCGGATGCCAGAACCTGGATTCCAGATCCGGAACTGGAACAGTAGGCAATAAGTCACGTGGTTTCAGATTCAATGTTTGCCGTGCAAGCCGTGGCAGGCGCTTTGTAATCAGGCCAAGAAGGCAGGTAGTGGACTCAACATCGATTGTACTGGCAACGCGAGGTCCTCCAGAATGGCCGGCGGCTCGCGCCCGCAGTGCCGATAGTCGGGCAGAAGAGAAGGTACTTGTGGCTAGTTGGCGTATTGCCGCCAGTTGGGGTGGGCTGTCCAAACAGGTCCAGATGGCACGGCTAATCCGACTATGTGAAGCAGTCTCGGACTTGGCTTCCAAAGCACATTTCATTATGCTGCATTCGTTCTCCTCTGCACCTGAGCATGCCAAATCTTTATTGAAAAGAGTCGTATTCTCTATACAAGAGAGTGCCGGTTGTCGATAGCTGAGGTTTGGTTGGGCGAGAAGGTAGCCGATTAGCCGGTGACTGGAGGACCAATCAGCTGAGATGAATGGGAGAGAGATGCTAAAAGTAATCGTGTAGGGCGTACGATAGAGAGTGGAGCATAAGTTACATTCAGCAAAGCACTGTACATGTAGTAAACATTTAAGTTGTGATTCAGAGGGGTTTAAAACCATCTATCGAATTGGCCCGGCGAAATAAAAATCCCTAAATAAGCATAGTGGATACGCATATGGCAAATCCCCTGGCATAGAAATATTTTTAAAATACTTCTCGTAGCTTTGGAATCTCAGTGAATAGGAAAAAACTAGCACAGGAGATGATAGGAACGGAAGCCGGATTCGAAGGAATGTATAAAGCTTGTGATTTTAGAATGCAATGGGAAAAAGTTGACAAAGGGAAAAGTGGATGGCTAAGTGTGAGTGCAGATTGGGATATCCAGGAGCCTTTTGGGAGGCATCAGAAATCAGTGGTGAAATCCACTTAAGGTAAAGCAATCTTGAAAGATATTAGAAAAAATTAAGACAGAAATGTAATAGGTAAATTGGCCAAATAAAGTTGGGTTGCGGAATATCAAGGAGAGGTGCCACAAACGTCGAACACAAATTGGTCCAAGGATTGCCCTCACTTGATTAATTGTGACTCGATGCCGAGGATAGAGCCCCTCATTAACGATGCCGATTAAGAAGTCAATAAAGCGTTCTATCGGATGCTGGAAGTTATCAGGACTTCTATGGAGGACGAAGGACACAGGACAGGGTTTCCCTGTTACTCCGACTAAGTTGTGAAAGCGAGGTCGAACCAACATAATCCTTTCATTAGCCTTGCATAAAGTAGATTACATTAAAATGGACAAAATATTAGCTCATTTATAGCATAAGTGGATCATGAGCATAATACTTGCATTGAGAAAAGAATGAAAAGATTATTCTTCTCGCACATAACTTAAAGCCGCAATTAGTTTAAAGCAATGTATTGGCCTATTAAAGGGGCACGTTTAGGTTTGCTTTTGAGTACCAGTTGAGTAACTGAAGAGAACAAGGTAAGTCCGAAACCAAACTTCGATATTGGCATATACAGACCGTCAATTTAAATTTGAGTAGTTGAAATAAAAGCCTTTGAAAAAATCAAATGAGCAAAGATGTACTCTTCCCTCATCAAAATTCAGTAGCAATTGAGGATCCATGCGATGTTGAAAGAGTTCGATTGCTAGAAGTGAAACAAAATTATTTCACATATTTTTTGTTTGTGAGTAGGTTTTCGAGACTACCAGTGAATCATATATGAGATGTATTCGTTTGATTTCGTTAAGGTAATTAGGACTGGTATTCCAAGTTTCTCATATTGATATAAGTAGACCTTACGTTTCCATAAAATTTCATACAAGATGGACTGTAGTTTCGAGATCGCCTAGATCTTCTCAGCACCCACAGCGAGACTTGAACCATGACAGTGCAGTCTATCATCTCGACATGTTTACCACTACTCCACATTGTGCACTTGGGGCACAAAGCAGATGCAAATTTCAAGGAAGGGCAGGCAGTTTTCCAAATACATTCTGTGGTGGGATTGTCGATGAAGCAAAGTTGTATTTGCGATACGAAATAGGGTGAATGCATTCATATTTATGATCTGCTGGAGGTCTCGAAAGCCTACTTTCAAATTAAAAATCAGAAATATAGTTGACTGCTATAGCAAATACAACTTTGATTCATCGACAATCCCATCACAGAATGCGATATAAGAAAATGTCTGCCCTGTGCCTAAATGGCCCTCGGGACGCGTATCGAAATTATATGCTGCACTATCACTATTCGAGTCCCGATGGGGTTGCTGAGACCTAGGTGAGATCGAAACTGGATAATGCTATGCAAAATTTAATGGAAATGTAAGGTTTATTCATAGCCTTGTGGGAAAATTCAAATACCAGTCTTTCCTTACCTTAAAAAAATAGAGTGAATACATCTCATAAAATTAGTTGTGAAGACAAATAAAATACATGGACTATGAAAAGCAGGCTTATTTTAAAGCCGGTACGAATAATTCAAGAAAAATTTGAAGAATCAAAGCGAACTCGGAAAGCCTCATTCGGTGCAATTCTCAAGAACAAGATTTATCTTTAAAAAAAGTCAGCTTCTTTCCATTATAAGTAAATCTAACAAAATTATAAAACAGGGAAAAGGTTCAGAAGCGATACAGTTCAAAAAGTCCTTTGAAAAATAAAATTTTTCTATATTGGCTAGCCATGCAATGAAAGTCCACATGATGCAGGTAATAATGATGCTGATAATGTTAATGAAGATAGCTGTGAAATGTGATTGTATGATAAGTGGTAGTTTACCTGACTGCAAGCGACAAGCCCTCGATTATCTGCTGGGTTGCGTCTTCATGGCCTGAGCCTCTTGGATAGACCTCATTCACAAATCGATCTGTCCGGGCCTGCGTAAAATAAATGTTGCCATTTACCATGGCAACAAGGCCATCCTCAACCGGGCCAGACGAGGCCTGGCCAAACATAGATCGAGTCGGCCCAGGCTGGGAATGG